GTATGTTGTTATGTGTAGCCTTCGGCTAAGAATTATCGTATTGCTGGAGGTTACAGATAAACCAATACGAGTTGGATGAAATCCTAGTCATAGTGATAGCCTTGGTCCCGTGCAAGAATCGACTTCCTCTATATACAATAGCAATTATGTGCGTTAGATGGGTTGGATGCTTGAAGTTAGCATCGTGGACATTTTGTTCCTCCATCCCCAAATGAACCAACAAGAGATAAAAAAGACATCACGCCAATCATCTGAATTACTTTGATTCCAGGCTTTTGAGATATTATTTTCAACCCAATCTCTAAGATCCAAGCTGTGATAAGCTTTGCCGATTAGCTGAAACCAGAGAATTCCAAACACTTCTAGCAGTGCTTACAATCTCTTAGAACATGGAGGTTTGTTTCCAACTCACCAGGGACATATTTTTACAATGACCAGATTCCCCACTCCATCTAGATGTGCGGTCTTCAGAAGAAGGCGGCCATGCATTATGATCCACATACAAGATTTAACACGCTGAGGCCCATGCCATTTCCATATGGTAGTCCAAGAATTTTTCAACGGCATGAGAGGGAAACCAAGCATGTTATAATACGCGGTTTTAACTAAAGAGCAGCCAACCTTTTGATTTCTCCAAATAATACGGTCATTTCCATCCGATGCGCTAGGAATGAGAGCAGCTTGGATCCTTGCAACAGCTTGATCATTGAGATATTGACGAATATAGGGAAAGTTCCATTGACCAGTATTGCTGTTCACGAAGGCACTAACAGGGAGATTCAACTCCAAACCAGTTGGAGTACGAGTAGCCAGAGAGGCAAGACACTCAGTTAAACCCAACCAATTGTCTGTCCAAAATAATGATGCATAATTACCGTCTCCAATCTCCCATTGTGAGACCTTATCAGAGTTGATACAATTCATGATAATATTTGTGAACCAGTGTGGGATTTGAATTTCATCCAAAATTTTACGAACAAACTCCCAATTTAACATATCATAAGCCTTTTCCAAGTCGATTTTAATTGCCATGAAACACTTTCTTCCTCTCATTCTACGCATTGAATGGATCAGCTCTTGGGTGATGATGATGTTGTCCTGGATATGTCGTTTAGGAACAAAACTAGCTTGGAAGGGAGACACCATCTCTTCCATTAGGGGCTTCATTCTGTTAACCAGAATTTTACTGAGGATTTTATAAATGACATTGCACAAAGAGATTGGTCTGAGCTGCTTAGCACTTTCAGGTCTCTTTACTTTTGGAATGAGGACCAGAAGAGTCGAGTTCACAAGGTGAATCAGATTGGGATTCTGAAACATCACGTTAACATCCTTAATAACATTAGTCTTAATAAGACTCCAATTCTTATGAAAAAAGGCAGCTGGAAAACCATCTTCCCCTGGAGCTTTTGACCCATTGATACTAAAAATATGATAATCAACATGATTCTGAATTTCTGCAATACTATGCAATAGGTTAGTCTTCCTATTGAAAATGTTGCCAAAGACTATCTTGTTCCATCTTTTTAAATTTGGAGTCAGATCATGCAGATTCGTTCTAGTGTCTTTCACAACATTCCAGCTCCTAGCCAGAAACTGAGTAAAGTTATAATGCTCCATCCAAGCAATCTCAAAGCGAAAGGGACGATTTTTCCAACCTGTGTCCAAGTTAGACAAGTAGACCAAAATGGGACTATGATCAGAATAAATCCGTGGAAGTACCTTAACGCCAGCATCAGTAAAGGTAGTCTTCCAACTTGCATTAGCACAGGCTCGGTCCAGCCTCTTAAAAACACGATCAAGATGAAGAAACTTCGGACCCTTCCATGTAAACCAAGGACCTGATCCTCCAAGATCCAGCAGCTTGCAATTATGAAGAACATTTGCAAAATTGGAACATCTGTTTAAGTTAACTCTACAGCCACCTTTCTTCTCATCCCGATTTGCTATTTCATTAAAATCCCCAGCCACCAACCACGGCCCATTACAATGGAGACTAATGTTTAGCAGATCATCCCATAGCTCCTTTCTATTTTCTTCCCTAGGACTCGCATAAACTGCCGTGCAAGAAAAGGAAGGAACATGAAAATTCTGAACTTTAAAATGAACAAACTGTTTTGTGTGATTAATAATTTCAACGAGACCAGTCTCATCATTCCAGAGGATCCAAATACCCCCTGAGTAACCTTCTGCCTCTTGAACAAAAGCATGCTTAAACCCAGATTTTCGGATAATGTCAGAAGCTTTTTGACCACTACACCGAGGTTCTAGAATCACTACAATACTAGGCTTATATTTCCTAGTAAACAGAAAAAGCGAATTTTGAAACTGGGGTTTCACTGCTCCCCTACAGTTCCAGAAGAATAAATTCATTAAAAACTATGTTGAACGCAAGACTCCAAGGTTCTTGCATCCTTCATTCTTGAAATATCTTCCTGGTGAACTCTGTCCACCTCCATGCACGTAGAGATGGTTGAGGTTTCAGGATTTTGGATGTCGCTGCTGTTGTCAACTGATATATCAGGACCAGTTTTATGAAATGTGTCATATAACTGCTCTTGATTCTGGTTCAAAGTGCTATCTGCTTTCATCCCATTTTCCTGATCATGTTGATTTGCTTGCATAGGACTAACCGCCATGGGAGTAGCAATTGATGGAGATGGTGGAATGGGAGTATGATCTTCACGATTTTCACTCTGGACTGGACACCTCTTACCCGTGCTTGAAGAATGAGCCGCATGCATAGTAGGAACCGTTGATTTAGTCCTAGGGGTATCTTTGGACTTTTTGGATTTAGTCCATATTTTCTGAGGAATTTCAAACTGAGGGGCCCCCATATGAGGAGTAACAGAATTAATTATTTGATTATGATCCTCCTCATTAATAGGTCCAGCTGTTAAGATTGCAAACCGTGATTGCGTAATTTCCTCCTTATCACCATGATTATCTCCATGATTATCGCTGGTCATAACTCCCTTATTACCATGATTACCGCTGGTCATAACTCCCTTATTACCATGATTACCATGATTATCGCTGGTCATAACTCTCTTATCACCATGATTACCATGATTATCGCTGGTCATAACTCTCTTATCACCATGATTATCTCCATGATTATCGCTGGTCATAACTCCCTTATCATTATTCCTTTGTAACGTTTTTGAACCAGCGCCTGGCTGGACTGCACCGGCCGTCTGAGGAGGTTGCCGGCTCCTGCGTTGACGATTAACAACCATCCAAGGTCCCAATCCTTTACTTCGATGGAATTCTGAGTTGCCAGGTTCCTCTTGATGAATTTGATCGTCATTATGAATATCGGATGAACTGCGTTGCTTTGGAGCAGCTGAACAATTCTCGGTGCTATGTCCATATTTCCCACAACCAAAACAAATGAGCCCTAATCCTTCATACTCAATTTGTTTGGTAAATCCTTCCAGCACATAATCACCCTTTAATGGCTGAGATAGGTCCAGTTCCACACATATTCTTGCAAACCGTCCTCTTACATGAGCATTTGTATTGCTGTCTACCTTGATCATCTTGCCTAACCAGTTTCCAATCCTTCTAAAAAAAGCTTCATCATAGAATTCAATGGGAATATCCGGTAGACGAATCCAAGCAGCAATCTTAGCAATTCCAGCACTATTAGGTCTGAAAGTTGGTTCCCACTTCCTCAACGATAAATAATGACCCAAAACAATCCATGGACCACCGTTCAACGCAAAATTGAGATCATCCTTCTCACTAAACTGGACTACGAAAAAGTCATTACCAATATCAGTGACATTGATTTTGCCTTTTCTAGCCCATAAGACATTTATTTTTTTCTTCATAAACTCCACCCCAATTTTCTTCCCAAGGAGTTTAACAATCAGAGCTTTCTCCCAAGGTTTCCTCATTCTCTTCCTTGCTCTTTTGGTGCAACTAAAATAAGTACGCCCATCATCTTCCTCCCACATCTTAATTCCTCCATGGTTGACATCCTCTTCCTCAGCAGGTTCCTCCCCATCTAAGTCTTCCTCGGCAGACGCCTCTCCTTCCCATTCATCATCTTCTCCATTATGACGCATCAGAATTTCCCTCCAGGTTGAACGTTGGCCACTTCATGTCTAGGTATCATAGATACATCATTTGAAAACTGATCTCCCTCACCTTTATTCCTCTTATTACTTCTTTGAAGAATGTCAAGTTCTTCCTAATCATAATTAATGAACTGCCTTAATTAATTATGATTAATTAATTAAACCAATTAATTAATCATAATTAATTGGTTTAACATGATGGTTTTCTTTTTTTATAAACCATCATGTATGCTGTCATGTGTCAACTAATCCGAATTTGAGTTCGGCGAGATTTCAAGAGGAGCAAAATTTTCTTTATCAAGTTTTAACATTTCAAACCCAAAATTATTAATTAACCTTAAGATGGAACACTACCCGTAGATCCATGTAATTGGTGGTAGTTGCTTATATAAGAAAAGAGCAAATCCAGGCTATACGCCATAAGCCATGTTAAGGGATTCATGACATTTTCTTGACATAATTTTTTGAGAGACTAATTATAGCTTAATTGAAATTAAGCAAACAGCTTTGCCCTGTATCTTGTATTTATTGCCTGCAAGAAGCTTATGAAAATAAAAGCTTTGATTAGGAGAATAAATGAGAAGGGAAGAAAAATGAGCACAACTCTGTTAAACCAAACTATAATCATAATCACATGCCAATAAGATTAGGTTTCTTCGTGAGGAAACCAAGTTGGAAACAACCCTGCTAGTTACAATGGATAGTTTGATGAACCGCATATGTAGATCAACATCAACTAAAAGTGAATTGTACAACAAGACACAATAATGGGGCAGCCAGACCAGCTACAAGAACCAAGCAGAACTAGTATTTGCAAAATAAAATTCATAAAACCACTGTTAGTGTTCATGCCAAAGAGAAGTACCATCACTAAGAATAAAGTTGAAAGAAGCTACAACAACAACTAAAAGAGACAGTAACTTATGATTGCAGGTCTCATCCCTTTTAAAGTTTCACCCTCATTTTTAAGAGAGACATATAACATTTAATATCAAAGTCCAGAGAAATGATAAACAAGTGCCATATGAAAGAAACTGATTTAATCCCAAGAGACAGTAACTTATGATTCCAGGTAACTAATGCTGATCACAACTTCATTCTATTTCTGAGATAACATCAAGCTCTTGGTTCAGACGTAAAGTACCAAATCTGGCACTTGTTCTGGTCGCAGATGTAGAGGCAAAAGGATTAGGAGGCATCTCTAGGTTCTCTCCATTTCCTTCCAGCATTTGAACCACAGCTTTCATGGTTGGACGATTTATTGGGTGCCACTGAATGCACCAAAGTCCCACAACTGAACTACTATCATTTGATCAGTTACTAATTACTATACCTATGTATCGTATGAATTATTTTACCTATGTACCTGTTTAGATACTTAGGCCAAAAAAATCGAATATATTATGATATTACCTGCATCCTATCAATAGAAGCATAATATAAATTGTATATTTTAAGAAATATATTAATATAATAGAATTTTTTTTTCCATCTCTTCAGAAAATATATCAGTATAGATATTAATAATATATATACTGATATAGTATTAATATCTATACTGATATATTTTTTGAAGAGACGGAAAAAAAATTATTTTGAATAAGAGTCGTATACTTTACTTAATATGACTTTAGTACTAATAATGCTCTCACTTAGGCTTTGTTACACAGCGTAGCCCGGCGGTAGCTGATGATGGTTGTTAATGGCTTCTTCTGATGTACCTGTAGAGATTATCTGATTAACGGTGAAGTGAATAGTTTAAGAAGAAAAGCAATTATATAAACAATCGAAAATAAAAAAATACGGAGGAGATAAAAGCAGGAGACACTTTATTCTAATATAGGGGTACATCCGCCAATTATTTTACAATATTTTCTTCACCATATCACTCTCAATCAATATTATTAAATTGAAATTCATCATGCTCCAAATATAAAGATATATAATGAGGGCAATAATGAGAGACAAGAATTGTTTTCTATACATAGATCGATATCAGTATCAACTTTTTCTTTCTTTTTAAAAAGAAGTGGACCCCAATAAATTAATATTACACTCATTACTCGTCAATAACAAGTTGGAATCACTTTTCTCTCCTCAATAACTCTAAAAAAAATCCTAAAGCACAACCACTGTTCATGGCTCAAGTTTGAACTACTGAAAAGGAATTACAAAGGAACTTGGACCACCCATTGGCTTTGTCTTTGTCAGAAAGCATGAGTTGTTATAACTAGATACAAAGTAGAAATCATATTCAATATTCTCCAACTTATTGAGAACTTTGCATGCTACTTCAAATCCATTGAATTTGTATATCATTCAAACTTTTCTTTAACTCATTGTTTTGTTCAGAAAGTGAGCACTTTATCTGTGTTAACTTCTTTAGCAGTAAAATATATTTCCTCTATTTTCTCTCTAATAAAGCGGCATTATATGATGTGCTTAACCTGAGTTTTTGGCCAATAATATACCATTATGATTATCGCACCTAATTGTCACTTTTTCTGGTACAAAATCAAGCTCCTTACACAACCAATGCAATCAACTAACTTCCTCGATGGCATGTGCGAGAGATTTTCTACAATTAGGGTCTAGTCTAAGGGTGTGTTTGGAAGTTTGGAGGAGAAGGAATAAAAGAAAAATGAAAGGTATTACCTTCCTTTATTTGGAAGTTCAAAATATGATAAGGGAGAAAATAGAAAGTTAAGGAGATATTTTTATAATTTTATAATTTCTTAAAAAACTAATATAATTATTATGTTTTACGAATAAAATTAAATTTAAATTTTTTTAAAAATTATTTATACAATTTTCACAATTAAAAATGATTCTCCCTCTAAAAAATTATTTTTTCTCTCTAAAAATTATTTTTTGTCTCTCTAAAATTGTTTATTTCACATTATTACTAAATTAAAATTATTAAAAAAATTATAAATCACATATATAAAAGTAAATCAGTTATCTCAAAATAATATAATTAGAAACAACAACAAAATAGTTTCATCAAAAAAATTTAAATAATTTTTTTAAAATTAATTTTTAAACAACGAGCGATAATTGATCATTGATCAGCACAAGCAATTGATTCAAATAGAACCAGACATAACAAGTACATAAAGAAGAAAAACGAGAAGTGGACGACCCGATGTTCACAAACTCATCCTCCGACGAAACAGAGGTTGATTTAGAGCAGTCTCCGGCGACTCTAACGGCTGCGAAAAAGATCGGAACCTTATCGGGAGCAGTGGCGAAACTATGGGGAAGAAGAATTTATTGTAGTCAAAGAACCCCAAATCACTCTTGTGTGTTGGGTTATTCAAGTACAATGAGTCTCACATTTGGTTGGTAATGGGTTAAGTGAAATGGATATTAGTGGAAGGATCATGAACCAAAGCCTTAAAGTTTTGTGTTGAGATATGATGTTGAACTCACTTGCTATAGTTGGAATAGCTTAACCCATTGGTGGACGGTTTCCCCTAGACCCACCGGATAGTACTGGTATTAGAGCCAAGTTATGCTCGAGCTAGCCTGGTGTTTGGCTAGGAGGTGAGTTGAGTATTTTAAACTTTGGGTACTCGGTTAAGAGGGAGCATATTAATGTTGGGTTTCACATATGAGGGGGAGATTGTTAGGATATGCAAGTGTGATAAGTCTCAGATTGGTTGGTAATAGGCTAAGTGAAGTGTATATAAGTAAAGAAACTCATGAACCTAATGCTTTAAGGTTTTGGGTTCACCAATGAATTTTGAATTTCAAATATTATCCAACTCTTTTTACAATTATTTTTTTTTGCGAAAAGTAAAAGATTTTCAAAAGAGGCAACTTTCCAAACTCTTCTCGAGTGTGAACACAAAGTTGAGTGTCGGGTCCACTTGGTGTCGTTGGCCTAATGTAATCCATCAGTGGTGGTTCCCTTCACGGGCTCCTCCCCTGAACCCGCCTGACATTCTCGATGATATCTTCTCTAAGAGCATACTCTACTTCTAAATTCTAATAGCCCACTATTCTAAGAAACTCTAGCACAACTTTTACGTCGTTACTGCCATGAACACTACAAGAATAACTCAGCGTTGAAGCCCTTGTTATAAAAAGGGGCAAATAAGTAATTTGTTAAATTTTTCCTCTCGTACCTTCAAATTGGAGGAAATCTGATTTAAAGAGAATAAGGGTATCAAAGAATTTTACAAAAATATCATATTTTCATCCTCTAATTTTTAAAACTCACATATTAGGAAAATATATAATTTATAATATTGACTCTCAAACATACCCTAAGTGGGCGTTTGGTATACTACTTTTTTTAAGATTCTTGGAAAATTAAGGGTGGTAATCCAAGAAGATCATGTTTGCTAGAAGATTTAGAAAATTTTCCCAAAAAAGCAATTTTTTCGAGATTCCATTTTGTGTGTATTCTCTAAACTAAAATACCATCGAAAAATACCACAATGGGGTGGTATTTTTGGATTCTCTTGGGCTGGGAAATCACACAAGATTTTCTTGACAAAAATACCCTCCCTTATGGCACCATCTTTGTCTTTGATGGAAGACAGTTTCTGGTTACCCTTGTTGCTGGGAGTGGGGAGGCTGCAATTAGTATACATCAGTATCGTTGGCCACTGGGAATCGTCGTGCTCTATACACCAGTATCGCACCTATTTTTCATTCTCAAATTTTTTGGTGTTTCGCTTTGAATCGTCGTTCTCCATACACCAATATCGCCTATCAAATTTTTCATTTCATATTCGTCTTCCACAAGTTGAGATAGAGAAAAAGAGAGAGACAAGGAGAGAGAGAGACAGAGCATTCAGAGAGAAGAAAAAAAGAGGTTGAATTAAAAAAAGCTTAAAAGTTAATTTTGTAAATTCACTCCACAATGCCAGTAATATTTTACAATCAACCAAACATAGAATAAGAAAATTGACCCAATAATCCTGGAAAAAATTTAGCCTTCCGAATAGTTTTTGGTAACATTCTCGTCAAATTCAATTTCCCACCATATTCTTGAAAATCGTGATTCTTGGATAATTTTTTTTTTATCACCTCCAAAAGCCCCCTAAGAGCCTCCGATAACACGGAATTAAGCCCTCAAATTAACCTTAACCCATTGAGAGTTTTGTGAGGCTGGTCCAGAATAATAATATTCCAACTATAACCCGCACTCTTCTTAAGAGTTAAGATTAGATTTTAGATTTTATCAAAATAAAATAAAATAAAATAGGTTTTATAATTTCTTTTAATCTTTTTAACATATATTATTGTACAAGTAATTTAAATTTTACAATAATATTCAAACAAATTTAAAATTATAATATATATATATATAATATATGGAAAAAATATTTCTACAGTCACTTTAAATAAGATTATCTACAGTTATCCTTTATAACTATGTACTATCGGTAGTACATAATTATAACATTAAAAATTCAGGTAGTGCCAAAAGATTGGCCAGGTAGAATCAGGGGATGCCAATGTTGTATTATTTTTAAATATTCATCTAATATCAAGGTTATATCAAAAATTTTAAAGAAAATCTATATCATTTTAAAAAATTAGGTGGTGTCAAAGCACCGCCTACCTCTCCAGTGGCTCTGTCACTGGTTATAACTATGTATTACTGACGGTACATAGTATAAAGGATAGATGTAGATAACCTTATCTAAAATGTCTGTAGAAATATTTACACTATATATATAGGTAAAATCATTTCTGCAGCCGCTTTACGTACAACAAAGACAGGTGTATGGTTATGATTCTCCACATTTAATGCTTTCATCCTTTGTATGGTTATATTCCCCGCATTTAATACTTTCAAGTATATATATGGCAAGTATTTGATTGTTGCACGTACAACAACTGTAGAAATGTAATCCCCATATATATATAGGGGCAGGATATTCTTACACCGGTGTAAGAGTTAGAAGTCTTACATTCAATCTTGACCATTGATCCACTTGTATCCAACGGCTCACATTACTAAAAATTTTGAGCCCTTAGATATGAGTGGGATCAGCGGACAAGATTGAGAAGTGTAACTTATACTGATGTAAAATGATCCTAACCTCTCTATATATATATATATATATTTATATATATGGGTTTTATAATTCTCATTTAACATGAGAATTTCAATTTTTCTACACACCTTTCGATTTTCGTGCCAACGTGGGTCCTACACATAATTTTTTCTAACATACGGGTCCCACATGCTTTTTGTCTCTACAACATGAGAATTCAATTCTCATGTTGAATGAGAAATATAAAACCATATATATATATATATATATATATATAGGTTTTATTTACAAAACTCTTTGTTTACAAATTACATTATGTAGTCCCGAAAGTATACTAAGTTATACTATATACTTTCGGAGTATATGGTGTAATTTGCAAAATTTTGTTAAGAGATCATTTCTCATCTGAGAACATCTTCCATACAACTGTAGTAGATAACTCTTCCATTAAATCACGGACATTTGGATAAAAAAATATTTATCTCTCCTCTGTGTACAACATTTATAGATTTCTATTAGGTGATAGCACCAAACAAATGGTACTAGAGTATAGTATATTAGATATTTCCCCATCACCTGTATAAGATGTTATGTGCTGCAGCATTCAAGCGAGCAATACCGGAAAATCACAAGTGCCAGATCCTCCCCACCCCTTGAAAAAAACATGTGGTGGGCTTTTGGAGGACTCATCGCCGCTCCCATAATTTCATTCTGCCTCTATACCTTCATTATATATTATGAAGGTCTTGAATGCGCGCCGCCACAAGATAGGGGATCTGCTTGCGGAAACATATTTAACAACAGTTCTGCATGCGTCGATCCCAGTTACGAAGTGATATGTGAAGACAAGAAAGCAGTGATGTACATAAACTATGGAAGACGTGACGCTGCCGCCATTATAGCAGCACCTAATTCCACCTTCCGTTACATCACAACCGGAGTTGGAGTTCATCCCGATAATTGCTCTATCATCAATTGTCGCTCCTTACCGTACGAAAACATCACCTTCTTCACTTCTCCTGATGATCGTATTTTTTATTCTTTGATAGTTGTCAGCTGCGAAAAACCAGTAAATCATGATGGCTACTGGGACATCTCTGCAGCGCACTGTGGCAAAAACGAAAACCATTCTTATTCTTATGCTGTGGTCGGACCTTACACAGCCGCAGACGTGGCGGAGTCTTGCACCGTAGAGTTGGAGGTAATGATAAGTTTTTTGAGAACGATGAGATGTAGCAGAAACTGTGCTTATCCAGAGATTCATAATGAGTATGCGAAGGGGATAGAGCTTCGGTGGCGACCATTACGCTGTGATGACTGGGAACCGGAACGCTGGGACTTCATCTGCACGCTGCAAGCTGCAGGGAATAGTTTCCTCCCTTTTGGAATGAGTGGTAAGCTAATCCAAAATATTAAAATGATCAAATTTTTGTGCCTATATTTCTTTGGAAAATGTTATACTTATTCTCTATTTTTCTTAATCTTATTATTAAATTTTAATCGTTGATTTTCGTTAATATAACAGTTATAATTTATTAAAAATTAATAATTAATTAATGAATATGACCCCATTAATTACAACAGTTAGATTGATGAAAATCAACAGTTAAAATTTAGTAGTAAGAGATAGTAAGAAAAAGAGGTAGTAAATATACCCCTTTAAAGAAATAAGGGCAGGATATACTTACCACCAAATTTTTTTTATCATCTTTACTGCCAACCTAATTTCCGTTGATTTCGGTCAATCTAACGGTAATAATTTATTAGATCGCATTTATTAGTTATTTATTAATTCCTAATAAATTTAGTAAATTATAACCGTTAGATTGACGGAAATCAACGATGATTAAGTTGATTGTAAAGGTAATAAACTTTTTTGGTGGTAAATATATCATTCTCCGTGTTCTTTTAGTCAAAACTAATATATTTTATGATGAGAGAAATTGTTACATAATAGAAATCACAGTGAAAGAAAGCGAGATTTTTTTAATTTAAATATTAAATAAAAATACAATAATTTTAACTAAAATGACTATCATTTCTCGTATATAATTAATTTAGTTATGATTTGAAAAACATTTAAAATTATAAAAAAGATATACAAATACAGTTAACAATAATTTAAAGGGTTTATCATCTATCATTTAACATGACCACAAAAATTTTTCTACACACACAACATTTTGTGGGGCCCGCAGCAAAAAAAAAAAAAAAAACTTCGGCACGCAAAACGAATCTCTATAACATAACACAATCACTTTTCCTACAACATAACTCTTATAAAACCCTAATTTAAAACTTCAAATTTAACAAAATAATAATTAAAAAAAACTTTTGACTCCGATGCAAAATAAAAATTTTACTCTTTATATTAACAGTTAATTTCCGTATATCTAATAATTATGATTTTTTTAATTACATTTTTTAATTAATTATTAATCTCTAATAAATTGTAAATATTATAGGAAATTAATGGTTGAGATAAGAAATAAGATTTCTTATTTTTATACCGGAATCAAAAAATTATTTCTCTAAAAAAGATATAATGTGTTTTTATTTAAAGAAAGTAAAATAATATAATAAGTCATTCTAAAATATATGAAGGTAAATATTCAACTAAAAAAATAAAATTTTAGGTCATTAAAAAAAGTAATGCCGTTTGAAACTAATAGGCGAAGGTATTTAGGACCCGTTTGGATGAACTTTTAAAAAATGATTTTTTATGCATTGCTTTTTTTAAAATAACTTTTTTAAAAAGATAAAGTTATTTTACGTTTGGATGTATAATCTGAAAATCACTTTTACAAAAAAAAATTGTTTGGATGTTAAAATAAAATAAAAACACTTTTTAAATATAAAATTACAATAAAAGAGAGATAAAATAACATGATCGTAAGATAAGGTGAGATAAAAATAGGTATGATAGGACAAGGTTAAAATCGTATTTTAAAAATTTATATTATCTTTTTTCAAAAAAAATAAATATATATTGTCTTTTAATTTCTGTTTTTTTTAAAAGCAACCAACTAGTGGCTATAAAAAAAAGCAGTATTTTAACTTTTATTTTAAATTTTGTGTTTTTTGAAAATTGTTATTCAAACGTCTAAAAATTCTCAAAAGAACTTTTATTTTAAAAAATAACAATTTTTTTAGGAATAAAAATCCATTCAAACAGGCTTAAGTACATAAGATGCCAATCATCAATTCTAACAAATTAGGTTTCCAAACTTAAAAGCTTCCTATTTTTTTCTGTGTATTTGTTTATTTTTATTTATTTTTTTGTTTTGTTAAACGTATTCCATGATTCCATCACTTTATTTAAAACGTCTTTTAGTATAGACACTCCTTTGTCTATTGATATGCAACAGTGTCATAAGAGATTCAATACAATATTCAAACTCTTCTCCGGATGATCAACAAACTTGAATTGTATTATGTATTAAAAAGATATTTTAACTATTTGATTAGATTTATTTCAACAGTGATGGCATGGGTCGGTGCAAAATTTGTACTTGGGTCACCCTTTGTGGTTGCTTTCTTGATATATAAATGGAGAAAATGGAATTTATCCGGAGATGATAATGACACGGTTGAAGATTTTATACAGAGTCACAATAATTTCATGCCCATAAGGTACTCTTACTCTGAAATTAAAAGGATGACCAAAGGTTGCAAGCATAAGTTAGGTGAAGGAGGCTATGGTACTGTTTATAAAGGGGAGCTTCGAAGCAAACGTTTTGTAGCTGTTAAGGTATTGACCAAGGCCAAAACCAATGGAGAGGAGTTCATCAATGAAGTTGCAACCATTGGTAGAATTCGTCATGTCAATGTGGTCCAGCTAATTGGATTTTGTGCTGAGAGAACAAAGCAAGCTCTTGTCTACGAGTTCATGTCTAATGGGTCTCTTGAGAAACACACATTTTCACAAGAGCAAGGAAACTTATCAATAAGCTACGAGAAAATCTATGACATTTCTCTTGGAATTGCTCGTGGGATTGAATACCTACACCAAGGTTGTGACATGCAAATCATACACTTTGATATAAAACCTCATAACATTCTTCTTGATGAGAATTTCAAACCCAAGATATCCGATTTTGGGCTGGCAAAGTTGTACCGAATAGATGAAAGCATTTTATCTCTAACAGCAGCAAGAGGAACAATGGGATACATGGCTCCTGAGTTGTTGTACAAAAACATTGGAGGCATCTCACACAAAGCTGATGTTTATAGTTTTGGGATGATGTTGATGGAAATGGCAGGTAGAAAAAAGAACTTAAATTTTATGGAGAATTCTTGGCAAAACTACTTTGCTAAATGGGTTTATGACCAATTTGAGGAAACAATATATATAAACAATGCCACCGATGAGGAAAAGAATGTAGCAAAGAAGATGATTGTGATAGCCTTAAAATGCATACAAATGAAGCCAGGTGATCGTCCCTCAATGAACGAAGTGATAGAGATGCTTGAAGCTGATGATGTGCTCCAAGATGTTCTTCCACCAGATCCAGAACCTCTCCTAACTTGGCAGAGGATGTCAGCAGATGAAAAATGGATTTGATGACAACTTACATTCATCATGAGTTACACATTGGGTCACTGAGCATGAGAATAAAACTGATGCAACTAATACCAGCTATCATGCGAAATAGTTAAGCGCAGGCTTCCGTACATTCATATCTTTTTCTATGCATATTCTAATTTAGAAGTTATCAGTTGTATTCTTTCTCATCAAACCTGCTTGTAAAGTATTAGAAGCTGCATCATAGACAATCTTATATATTTATTTATGCTTGGCCCTCTCTTCATGCATTTCTTCCTTATGCTCACGTTTTAATTTCCCATTTTTCTTCCCTTCTCATTTATTCTCCTAATCAAAGCTATTATGAAAATAAGAGCTTTGATTAGGAGAATAAATGAGAAGGGAAGAAAAATGAGCACAACTCTGTTAAACCAAACTATAATCATAATCACATGCCAATAAGATTAGGTTTCTTCGTGAGGAAACCAAGTTGGAAACAACCCTGCTAGTTACAATGGATAGTTTGATGAACCGCATATGTAGATCAACATCAACTAAAAGTGAATTGTACAACAAGACACAATAATGGGGAAGCCAGACCAGCTACAAGAACCAAGCAGAACTAGTATTTGCAAAATAAAATTCATAAAACCACTGTTAGTGTTCATGCCAAAGAGAAGTACCATCACTAAGAATAAAGTTGAAAGAAGCTACAACAACAACTAAAAGAGACAGTAACTTATGATTGCAGGTCTCATCCCTTAAAAAGTTTCACCCTCATTTTTAAGAGAGACATATAACATTTAATATCAAAGTCCAGAGAAATGATAAACAAGTGCCATATGAAAGAAACTGATTTAATCCCAAGAGACAGTAACTTATGATTCCAGGTAACTAATGCTGATCACAACTTCATTCTATTTCCGAGATAACATCAAGCTCTTGGTTCAGACGTAAAGTACCAAATCTGGCACTTGTTCTGGTCGCAGATGTAGAGGCAAAAGGATTAGGAGGCATCTCTAGGTTCTCTCCATCTCCTTCCAGCATTTGAACCACAGCTTTCATGGTTGGACGATTTATTGGGTGCCACTGAATGCACCAAAGTCCCACAACTGATAGCTTCTTTGCAACTCTAGTGTCTTCTTCTTCTATATGGATTTTTATGTCTTCATTGTTCTCTAGAAGATTATAAATCCATTGTGGATAATTAACATGGCTGCTATTTTCTGATGTGACATCAGTGATCTTCCTTCCTCCAACCATTTCAAGCAGCAACATCCCATAACTATAAACGTCTGACTTATAGGATACATTGCCAAAGTTCCTAGAAAATACCTCCGGGGCAATGTAGCCCAAAGTGCCCCTAGCTGCGGTCATTGACACAATACTTTGATCCTTGGAACAAAGCTTGGCCAAACCAAAATCAGAGATTTTTGGTGTGAAATTGTTGTCTAGCAATACATTATGAGGTTTGATATCAAAATGGAGAATTCGTTTATCACAACCTTGGTGAAGATACTCAACTCCCTTGGCTATACCAAGAGCAATATTTTGTAGCATTTCCCAACCTAGAAAGACATCCTTATTGTCTGCTGATGATATGAATTTCTGCAATGAACCGTTTGGTAAAAACTCGTACACCAAAGCTCGTCCGAGTCCATCTGCACAAAAGCCAACCAAGCGAGCCACATTGACATGGTGAATTTGACACATTGCTTCCATTTCATTGATGAACTCTTGACCATTCCCTGTTGATGTGTTTAGGACCTTAACAGCTACCTGAATTTCATTTGATAGCTTTCCTTTGAAGACAGTTCCATAAGCTCCCTGACCCAGTTCTTCCTTAAACTGATTTGTAATTCTCTTTATATCTGCATAAGAGTATCTGGCAGGCTTAAGTGCTTTGTAATCCTTCAAAAACTTTTTGATTCTTATATAATGCTTCCTTTCCATGCCAGCTACATAGAAACAATATGCTGTGACTCCAACCAATATAAGCAAAAAAGGGCCTAGGATTTCACCTGCACATATCAACATACATTATGAACAAATCAATTCTGAGTAAATAGGCAACTCTGTTCCCAGAACTATCATTTACTCGCAGTTTGGTCCTTTAATTTATTTATACATACCAATGAATCTGTAAATTTTCCAAACTCTATCATGTTAATCCTTCTTAAGGATTAGGGTGAGATACAAAAGGATTAACGTGATACAAAATTTCCTTTCACTCTACCAAAAGTAGAACTTATATATCCAATTTGCTAAATGGAACAGGGCAGTAGAAAGCTTACCAGCCAGCACTTTCCCTTTTGATGAACCTGCTAAAAACAAAAAAACAAAAACAAAAAATGGAAGATATGAGCTTTTCACGAGTGAATATATATTATAACATCCAAATATACCTTAATCACTCAACAGTAAATCAGAGAAAGATGAAGAACATGATAAAGAAATCCCTACTACAAGTTACCTAACAAGTATCTAAGCATCCCAATGCGTAAAGAATTTGATTTGAAAGGTACAGGGAATCTTTTATAACTTGAAACAGACATAAAAGAAATAATAGAAGCATAATGTGAAAATATATAGAAGAAATTATACCTTTGGGACTGTTACATTCGAATCCGTGTTTAGATTTGTTTTCTTTAACCTTGCATTGCCCACCTTTTCGTTCACAGTTTTTGCAATCTGGTTGGAACCAATTTAGACCAGCATCAATGTTCTTGTTAAACAAAGAATTAGGCAATAATACAAGGCTTTGGATTCTGGTGCAAGATAATAAGGGGGCAAAGATTATTTGTGATGTGGAACTTGCTGCTATAACTTTAAAACCAGGTACATTGAGGCAAGAAAAGTTTCCAGTTGTTATTATATAACTCTCATCTGTGTTCCCGTGAGACATCCCTGCTGAACAATTGAATAATGCATAAAGGTCTAGTTTGAACTCATCGTTGAACCTAAAAGGAGATGCAGATATATCGAAACTTGCAATGTGTTTGTGAAGACAGGCTTCAGGATATGACACACTTATGAGTTGTGATGTGTAGTTTATGCTTTTGACTAAGGCCTTAGCAGAGAATGGTAGTTCAAGCACCGTGTCGTTGCTATCTGTGCAATATAGATCAAACCAAGAATTATAGCCACACCATTCTGGTTGTCTTCCTTTTAGTCTGAAGGGAAATCTGATGGTTGGTCCATGAATACCACAACTTGATTCTTTGCATTGATCAAGGGAACTAGTTTCTGCAAGGATAGTTAACAAGCACAAGGACAAGAAAGGGATGCACTTTTTTAGCCACACAGCCATGCCTCATGAATTGTGAATGAATGTCAGTGAACGTAACATTTCTTCAATCAAAATTAATAATAAATATATTATTAGATTAATGCATCTTATTTTTTCTTGAATTATGTATGTTGCATTTTTATACAACTAGGTGACTAACACAACTCCAGTAGTTCAATTATTCTAAAGTCAGACTTTTCAGCTCTCATATTTGAATACTGGAACAAGTAGCGTCATGTCTATCTTATCTATTTGTTAATATTTTTACATGTATATGTAATATTTCTTTTATGAAATTTTTACTTGCAACCAATTAATATTATGTATTATTGATAACGTATAGTTGTAATATTAAAATTATTTTTTTTCTTTTTATCACGTCAGTTAACAATTTTTCAAAAGAAAAAAAAGTAACTTTTAAAATTGTAATTACATATTATCTATAATATATGGTATTAATTCATTGCACGAGAAAAAAAGTTATATTTTTCTTCTTTTATTTTAGGAAAAGGTGTTTATTTTTTTAAATGACACAACTTATATTTTTCACTTTTACAAAGAGGTTGGACTCACACCTTTATTTTTTTTATCAACTCTCTTTTCTTCTTTATTTATTTATTTTTTTCTCTTAAAATGACACAACTTTACATATTTTAAAATGAGACATATTTTTTACCTTATTTTATTGCCGTGCATTTAAACTTTAATATGTTTCTTTTTTCTAATTTACTTTAAGAAAGAAGGAGGAAAGAGAAGGCGCCAAAAAGTTAAAAAGTTATTCGCCTTGGAAACCTCACCTATGTATCTATCTGTTTCCAAACCTGATATGTGATGTATGGATATCATTGACTCCAAGTCAGCTCTCTTTATCAAGCCGTGGATCATGGATTGAAATATTTTATTTCATTAAAATCTAAAAACGAAAATTTGTCAAAAAGATAAAAGAAAAAAGTTCACAAAACCCCCTTTTTCAAAATAATAAAGGAGTCGGCAATTCGGCATCAATAAAATTTAAGTTTTGAATTAATTCAAAAAAAAAAATTGTAACTCGAGAAAAGTCTGTGGGGGCATCTAAAAAAGCATTGCACAAACAATATGATGAGTAGGGCATCGTTTTCTTGGAGAGGTAGGGTCCATCTAGTTTATTTTCAAAAGACGTTAGTAGAGAAGAAATTGTTTTTTATTCGAAAATCACGATTTTTAAGAATATGACGAAAAAATGAGTTTTCTAAGAATGTTACCGAAAAATTGTTTGATAGACTAACATATTCCTAAAAATATTAGATTAATTTTCTTGATGCTATATTTAGTTGTATTAAATTTCCCTTGTCATAGAAATACTAAAATATCACCTCTTGTATGATATTACTGGATGATTTTTAAAAAAAAAATTATGCACAAATAAAATCTCGAAAAAATTAGATTCTCGAAAAAAATTTAAAAATCTTATACTAAACGTGAATAAATAAAATTATTACTTTTAATTTATCGAGAATCTTAAAAAAATTCTTATACCAAACTGCCCCTAGAATCCGGAGAAAATGGGACAGTTTAATGCATGATATTTACGTGATTTGATTTTGAATTTTGAGCATCGACTAGAACCAATGTTATTAGAACCGGACTGGTCATTGACCCGGTCGAGGTACCGGGTCACTGGGTCAATGGTTCAACCGGTGGGTCACTGGTTGAACCGCATGAACCGGGTATATATATAAATTTATATTTTATACTTAATTATATAATAAATATTTTAAATGGTGCAATTCAAACAATAACCTGATGTAGTCTAGTGGTAATTACTATATTGTCTATCCTCAATGTATGGAGTTCGATTCCTATTTGATGCAATTTTTGAAATAATTCTATTAACTTAACAGTTATATAATAAGTATATTAAATGGTGCATTATATTTAACAGGTAATGATAGCGTAGTGGTTCAAAGGTGCGCTCCTCACATCAAAGGGTTGGGTTCGATTCGATTCTCACTTGGTGCAAAAATTGAAATATTTTGTAACTTGTTTTAAAAAACCGGTTTAAAGATAAAGCCGATACCGGTTTACACCGGTTCAACCGCGGTTTATGACCGGATCACCGGGTTGATACCGGATCGAATGCTTAAACGGTCCAATACTGAAACCGGACCGGTTGATGGGCCGGTTTCCGGGCCAACCGGTCCGACCGAACGGGTCGGGCCGGTTTTAATAACACGGACTAGAACTTTTGGTTTGATGGGTAACGCGCGTTGTCATTTTTTTAGGCGCCCTTTGCTAATGGCAAAAGATAATTTTATCAAAGAAAAATATAATTATTGAAAAAATGGTGGGAAAAATGAGGAAGTAAAATTGCTTCAAGTTTAAATTTGTTGGAGAAATAAAAATACCACCATCAAACAGGTATTCTCAAGTGACCATTTTTTTTCATTTTTACACTCAATAATTTTTCCATCAAAACTTTTTTCTTAGGCAAATTTTTTTTATTCCATATCAAACATGGTCATTTATGAATCTCATCTATCACTTTCCTAGCATTCTCACAAAAATTCACCTATCAAACGGCCTCTAAGAAAAAAGTGTCTGGACACACATTTGGATTATTTTAAAAAAGAGGTAGACATAAAAAGATGTGAGTCTCGTTGAAAAATAAAGATAAAAAAATAAAAGTGTAGGTCTCATATCTTTTTGTGTCTATTTCTTTCTTAACATGAACTAAATGTGTATCCTTTAAACTTTAAAAGGACACACACTTTACTCATATTAAAATCATTTCCGACTAGTTTGATTCGGGGTGAATTCTGAAATTAAGATTTTAAACCCTCCTAAAAATAGTACGATCGAACACATACACTCATCCTCACCTGTTCAGTTCTCTAACACCAACTAAGCTATCATCATTATTATTTTGGTGTCATTTTCTTTGGAGTTAACCGTACTTACTATAGTTGTGTATGTATCGTATGAATTATTTTGAATTTATATCTGTTCAGATACTTAGGCTTTGTTACACAGCGTAGCCCGGTGGTAGCTGATGAAGGTTGTTAACGGCTTCTTCTGATGTACCTGTAGAGTTTATGTGATTGGGGTGAAGTGAATGGTTTAAGGACAAAAGCAATCAACATACACAATCGAAAGTAAAGAAAAGAAGGAGATAAAAGTAAAAGAGACATATAAGTACATGTGCTCAAGCCTGAACAATTGAATTATAAGGAAACCTGTGGTTCAAATCAATACAATGGATCCATTGGCTATATCTGCGTAAGGGGGGAACATTGTCCCAATGAATTTGTATATCTTTCAAACTTTCTCAAAACTCATTATTTTGGTCATAAAGTCAGCACTTTATCTGTGTGTCAACTTTCTTTAGCACTAAAATAATTTTCCTCTATTTCCAAAAAAAAAAAAAAAAATTCCTCTATGCTCTCTTTGACAAAGTGGCATTATATACTAATGTGTTTGCTCTGCTCCTCACATGAAGACTTGGATTCTTAGCCAATAATATAGCATTCCGATTATTTCACCTAATTGTCACTTACTCACTCCTCCTTGTGTAATGTCAAATTCTTTGAACAACCTTGATAACATATGTGAAGACTAGGGTGACAAAACGAGACAGCGGATTAAAATAGAAAAATTGAAACCCAAACACAACCTACTGCGAGTCGAGTGTCACACAGATTGATATGCAAAAATTAAAAATTTAATTTTTTTTCTTAAAAAATTAAAAAAAAGAAGACAAAAACTAAATAATATATGCGAGTTGACCCGTGATTCGCAATGGAGCATGTGAAAATCATCAAATTTGAATTTTTTTATTTTTTTCGATAAATTATTTTTTTGTGTATTAACATGTGGGTCATGATACTTTTTGTCACCCCCAGCGAAGATCATGCCTTAGTAGTTGATAAAGCAAACATAATATACCACTTACTCATCCAATTAAGGGGTTTGTTTATAAATAATAAGAAGAGATTAACTATTGATCGGTTCAAAAACTAAGAGAAGATATATATAGAGAGTGAGAAATATAAGAGCGAACTCTTTAAGGAGGACGTAAAAAAGAAGAGAGAGTAAAAATAAGAAAACTCAACAAAAGAGGAGAAAAGAAGAAAAGAAAAATTATTTTTTTATTTTTCTAAAATGTAATCCCATGGCGTAATTATTTTTCTTGTTTTATTTATTATATTCTTTTGAAACTATGATTGGTTTCTTTTCATTTTGTGTAAGATTATATACATTAAAAATTATACTTGTATCACTTTTAACATACTTATAAATTTGAGTTTGATATTAAGTTAATGAGTAGGGTTATATTGACAAATATTTCTTTTTACAAACTATACAATGTCTGACAGTGATCGGTAATACTCTACTAGTGTATTACCGGTCAGACATAGTGTAGTTTATAAGAATTTGTAAATATAATATTCTCCTAATTTAATTGTATATAAAATTAGGGGTAGGATATTGTAACAACCAATTAAGGTTACTACCAATCAATTTCACCGTTAGATCGATTATGTTGATCCATGTGTTATATTCATTTCCATCTTTGTATGGTTAACCTTAATTGATTGTTTACAATATCCTACCCCATAAAATATTGGAATAGGTTATTCTGCTTACTCTTAATTTGCCTACCTTTGTCTACCTCTCTCAACACCATTAGATTATAATTCCATCCAATGGTGGAGATTTGCAGGATAAAATAAACCCTACCCATTTTTTTCTCCTCACTGCCTCCCACACTTTCTCTCTATCGATAAAGAGAGAGACAGATAAGCACATACGATCGAAATCCCTTATGAGTTTGAATTGATTTTTTTTTCACATCTATTTGTTATGACTTTGGTAAAATAGTTTTGGTGAACGTGGTGGATGCCCAAGATGCCACTAGTATAACATTTATTCGAATACCAAATCCTTAGTTTTCTCTCTCTTCAATGGCGCTTCAGCAACTAACTGAGTACGAACACAAGCGACTCAACAAAATCTCATGAGGATGAAATCAACGAATTAGCCGAAGATCCATAATTAAATAATAATATGAATTCAACATATATGATTAATTAGCAAATTCTGACAAATTGAGGAATAGTATCAATTACAATGGTCAAGGGAAAGATGATCATTGGCGAAAGAGAAACACCTTTTAAATTTTGAATTTTCAACTTTGTCCTTTATAAAATTTCAAAATTGATAGTAGACTTCACGAAGATGATGGTCAAGGGGGTGGGAGGAGAGAGAAAGAGTGGGAGGCAGTGAGGAGAAAGAAAGGGGTAAAAAGATTTATTTTATCTCGCAAATTTTCACTGTTGGATGAAATTATAATATAATGGTATTGAGAGGGGTATATAAAGGTAGAAAAATTAAGAGTAGGCAGAATAACATATCCCAAAATTATTATAAGATTGTGACTTTAATTATTTCTATGCTATGTACATTTGAAGTTAAAAAGTTATGCAAAGAGGAATTAAAAAGTTATATCAATATTATAACTCGTAAAGTGATAAAATAAAAAAGTTTACAAAAAAATAAGTGATAAAATAAATCTACGATTACATTTTCTCTGTGAGAATCAAAAATTATGACTGAAGCTCTTCAAACTTGATTTTTGTTCTTTCTGCTGAATAATGAGTAGAATTTAAATACAATGTAAAAGGGACTTCAATTTATTTTTTCCACAAAGATAAACTTTTTAAACCTAAAATATATATATGAAAAAAATATTTACCAATTTTAAGTGAACCAAATATGTTTGGTATATATTTTTTGGGTTCGCTTTTTCTACAGTCAATATCTACATTGAGTCCAAAATGATGTCGTTTTGAGGCAAAAATCAAGGTATTTTTATAATTATAATTTATATCAGGGTTATTTATTATAATTTTTTAATTTTTCGATCCAAAACGACGTCGTTTTAGGAGTAAATGTAAATAATTTATCTACATTTACTGTAGAAACATTAAACCATGTTTCTTAGTTTTTTACATTCACTTCTCCATGAAGTTTGGAGGTGAAAGAATGAGAATATAAAAAATCATGACATCAAATTATATTCTTTAATATAATACACTTTTTTCTTATATATATATATATATATATATATATATATATATATATATATATTCTTATATATATATATATATATATATATATATATATATGGCCTTATTTGTGGAGAGAAAATGGGTGGGTCCCACCATTACAAGAATAAAATAAAAAGATGGGTGCGAAAATCAAAGTGAGAGAAAATAAGAGAAATTGTCTTATGTGAAAGGAGAGTAATATTTCCTATATATATATATATATATATATATATATATATATATGGAATAAGATATCATGCCTATCATTTTTCATGTCTATTCCATTTACTCTCTTTCAACACTGTTAAATCAGAATCTTTAGTAATCATGAAAAATAAAGATAGGGATAACTTATTATATATATAAAAAATAAGTAGGTGTTGCGACTTCGGCAAGTGCACCGGTCGTACAAGTAATAAAGTGGTAAAATAAAGTTGCCGATCCCACGAGGACTGATGACCAATCACTAATTTATCTATTTAATTAAAGCTGGATCGATCGTGAAAGGTTTCCTTGAGAATATTTTAATTTAATTAAAACAGAATTTTTAAACTTATTTTTTAGTTTTCAACATTTAAGAAATTAAATTTAGAATTAATAATGCTAGAAAATTGGTTTTAAGTTTTACTAAAAAAACGTAGCTAGGACTCAACTTTCCCAATGTTTTCTTAACGAGTTTAAATATTCTTATAATTAAGATTCAAGATTAAGTTATTAACAGTTCTTTCTATATTTGATTAGATCTCAATCCCTTGGTAATTCAATCATTTACCCCACTCAAAAGCCTAATCCCTTAGTACTTTTTCATAAAGTAAGCATTAACACAAGAATATTCAGTTATAGAATTCATAAGTCTATTCCTAGATCATACAAATTCCAGCAATCAACCAATCGGAATCGATACACCAACATTCCTATTGTCATGTACGACTCAAGTGTTTATCTACGAGTGATCAGTTCATAAATAAAGTTAATCAATAAGAAATAGATTGATTGCATAACTTTAAATCATGAATATAAATTATAAGAAAGGCAAACAGCGTTCAAGAACCCATTGGTTTCGTTTCGCCCTAACTACTTAAAGAAAATTAGCCTGACATAATCAGGAAAACAAGAACAATAGATGAAAAGAAACTAAAATTCATAAAAAGAAAAATAAAACCTGGTCTGCACAGTGAAGCTTTGACCGTTCCTTCGTTCCTTTGCCTTCTGAATGCACTCCTCTGCCTCGTCTTTCGAATAATTCCCATCACGGCCTTCTTCGCGTTCTATTTAAAGGCTTAAAATTGGGACTTTATTTTTGGACCAGCTCACTGGGGAGCTCGCTCAAGCGAGCTGCTCAGCGAGAACTTTTCTTATCCTCGCTCACTTGCTTGCTGAAGCGAGCATCAGACCGAGCTTGATTATGCTTCTCGCTCACTTGCTCGCTAAAGCAAGCAATAGAGCGAGCGTGACCAAATCTTTAATTTCTTATTTTTCTTTTATCTTTTTGCTGTGCCAACTGCTTTCCCATCCTCGTCAGGTTAGTAATTTGTTATTCTTAGTATGAAACAATAAAAAGGATTAGGATCTTACCTAGTTGTTGGCATTTTACTAAACTTTAAGATTTTATTAATTAACACTATATTTTTAATTATATTAATTATTATTTGCACTATAGTTGATATTAAAAGCATGGTGTCTTTGACACTTATCAAATCATTTCCAGCTTTACTCATTGTTGTCCTTAGCAATGAATTAAATTAAAAGCATGGAATAATGTAACACTGTAAAAAGCATGCTTAATATAAGACTAGACAATATATCAATTTAAAAATGATCAGACTTAGGTAGAAAAATAATAGGATTTTTAAGAACCAACATTTGATTAAGCAGTCTTGAAATTAAGCAAGTTATAAAATCAAAGCATGAGTTCTATCAATCAAGCATAAAAACTGAATTCTAACACATCCCTCACTGGATACATCAAGTCGCTCAATATTCATCTGTCTAAGGGTAAGTGTTTTACTCAAAATTCTACTGTACCAATATTTTCATAAGCTTGATAATATTCTCACTTTTCAAGTTAGTTTACATGCACAAAAGTTCAAAAGGTCTTTATTCAGGTTGTAATAGGGCTTGGCTAAATGTAGGATAAATAAGAGAAAACTGGCTAAAACATTGGAACACAGAAAAATCATGGTAAAGTGTAAACACTCAAACTAATAATCATTTTCCTCCCTCTTTTCTCCTTTTTCTTTTTCAGCACTATTATTTTTCTCTGTATTTTTCTTTTTCAACCCCCAATACTTTTCTTTTTCATTTTCATTTTCTTTCAGCACTTTTATTTACATAGAAGCAATAATTAATTTTCTTTTTCACCATTTTCAACTTTTGCTTTTGCTCCATTAACCTAACCTCTTTTTTCACCACTTTGAATTACATGATAAAGTATTCGTGTTTGCACCCTACCATGAAATTTCTATAATCCAATCTTATTTAAGGTAGATGTGTATGTGGAGTGGCTAATTAAACTATAGGTTTTTAAGAAAAGAAAAAGGCTTAGGCTCAAGGGGCTAAACAAAGGATATCATAATGGTTAGCTTTTTAGCTAAGTAGCTAAAATAATAAAATGCTTCAATCATTTCAAACATGCATGCAAACAACCATTTTAAGGAGAAACAAAGCAAGTTCTAAAAGTATTTTCAACAGTAAAATGCACACCGAAAAGAATTTTTTGTTTAGGCTCAAAATCTCACGACTAATGGTGTGTGATTCAGTTAATTATGCTCTTTCTCAATTACTCATACTGTAATTTTATTAGTCTTACTGACTCTTAGACTAACTCAATCAATGCTTATTCTTAAAAATATACAATATATTCTAAGTCATCACATCATAAATTAATTTTACTGACTAATTCTTACTTAACATGATTTAATAATTCAGACAAAGAGGAGAAAATAAAAATAAATGAAAATTAAGAGGAGAAGTTAAAAGAAAATTTTCTGTTTATCTGAAAATTTTTGAAGCTCTACGCATCCTCACAGGAAAATCTAACTTCTACTGTATATGGCGGTTCTCCCCATTCCCAGATTTAGAATTTTGTTGTCCTCAGCAATGGACTACACATCGGAAACAAAGAGCACACAGTAATAACAAAAACAAGTAGTAGCATAAGAAAATCATCAAATATACATCACCATGGAGATCAAAAGTTAAAACTAAAATAAAACAAGAAGAACGAAAACAAAAACTAAATGCAGCAAAATAAAATAAAAGTATGAATCTGTTGGGTTGTCTCCCAACAAGCGCTTGTTTATCATCATTAGCTTGACGTTACAACTTCATTAGTCATGGTGGCTTGTAGCCGGAGTTCAAAGATGATGTCATCCTTTTTCTCATAAATTGTGCTTTGCCGTAATAATATTCTCGTGCATATGGGCGATAAGGTTTGACCTCAAGAACTCTAAACTTAGTCTTGATATGCTTTCCCCTTTCTTAGGTTTTGCCCTCTTCACCTTTGGCTTGCAGCTCTCATCTGGCTTATGATTTTTCCTTTCTTCCTCCTCAACCTTATTCTCGTCAATAAAGAAAATTTTCTCTGGTTGAGCTATAAGTGGTGGATTTTCTTTTAATTCTAACTTTGAAAACTGAGGAGACTGAGTAGCATTTATTTTGTTTTGCACAAATTTGTTGTCTTGATCAGTATCCAAAGACTAAAACTCATAATCGTCAGAGATAACATCAATGTCTTTTACTACTTCTTCCAATAGAACCTCATTTAATAGATTAGAAGATTGCAGAATCCTTGCAAATGATCCCTCTATTGAAGGTGCAGAGTTAATCTCATCTGCAAATGCTGCTATAGCTTCATCGATCACATCGATTTGAAAGCAGTTACCTTTTTCTTTTGGGTATTTCATGGCTTCAAACATATTGACAGTAAATTGCTCACCATTTACCCTAAATACTAACTTTCCTTGCTCAACATCAATCAAAACTCGAGTTGTAGCTAAGAAAGGTCTTCCCAAAATGAGAGGTACTTTAGAATCTTCTTTCATATCTAATACCACAAAGTCTACAGGGAAGATGTAATCATTAACCTTCACCAGTACGTCTTCAACCACTCCTTCTGGTTTCTTGATAGATCTGTCTGTAAGTTGTAAAGAGAGTAGTGTAGGCTTTAATTCAGTAATTCCTAGGGACTTAGCGAAGGAAAGTGGCATCAAATTGATGCTAGCCCCAAGGTCACAAAGTGCTCTACCCACATGAACATTCCCAATAGTGCAAGCTATGCTGAAACTACCAGGATCCTTGGGCTTCGGGGGTACTTTTTTTTGGATAATTGCACTACATTTCGCCGTCAAAGCTACTGTCTCCATTTCTTCTTTAAGTTTGTGCTTCCTTGACAACAAGATCTTCATGAACTTTGCATAACTAGGCATATTCTCTAAGGCTTCAATGATCAAAATATTTATTTGCAACTTTTTAAACATTTCTAAAAATTTAGAATATTGCTGCTTTTGTGTTGATTGTTTCAGTCTTTGAGGATATGGGGCTTTAACATAGGGTTATCCCCCAGCGATTTCATTCTTTCTTCTAAAAGAGGTTTCTTTATTAATTTTTTACGTAGAGTATCATTTAATGGTCCTTCGAAAATTATGACCTTTTCATCAATAGGGTTATCAGCTTTTTCTTCAGCAGACTTTTCTTTTTCTGAATCATTTTTACTGCTTGGTGCAACTATAGGCTTTTCCACAGGTTGAATTACTATCCCACTCTTTGTAGTGATGACATTACATTGTTCTTTGGGATTAATGATAGTATCACTAGAAAAGGTACCTGGAGGCCTCTCAACCATCTGCTTGGCAAGCTTACCAATATGAATTTCCAGATTCTTAATATATGCTTCTTGATTTTTGAGAGATGTTGTTGTCTGAGCCAATTTCTCTATAGCTATTTCCCACGCGGCAGGTTGAGGAGTAAGTTGTACTGGCTGAATTCCCATATTAGCTTGTTGTGGTGCTCCTTGATTATATGAAAGTGCAGGATGGTTCCTCTAGCTAGGATTATAAGTGTTGTTGTAAGGATTGTTCTCCTTACTTTGGTCGTACCAAAGAGAATTCACCTGAGCTGGGTTTATAGTAATCATTGCCTCACAATTATCGGCATTGTGAGATCCGCCACAAGTGTTGCATACCACAGGAAACTGGGCATTAACTAAAGAAATCTGAGACTGAGTGAGAAGTTTTGTGATTTCTTATAACCTCTGATCCATCTTCTCTTGTTTGGTCAGCATAGCGTCATAACCTTCCAACAACATCACTCCTCTCATAGGCAGCGCTATCGTGACCTCGTTGTCTTCGAAGGCCATTTTCTCAATTAACTCGATGACTCTGGTTGGAGTAATCTCTCCTATACTACCTCCAGCTGCAGCATTAAGGAGTACTCTATAGGTTGCCGTAATCTCTTTATAAAAGATTTGCACCTTCTCGCCATTCGATAGAACGTACTGCATACGTCTCCTGATTAGTTCTTTAAATCGCCCCCGTCCCACACACAGGGATTCTCCTTCGAGCTGCTTGAAGTTGTCAATCTTTTCTTTCAACTCATAGAATCGGGAGAGTGGGAAAAATTTCTTTTGGAATTTTTCAACTAATTCTTCCCACGTGGAAATGCTATTAGCAGGTTGCAATTCCAACCAATTAAGTTCTCTCCCTTTTAAAGAAAAGGGAAAAAGCATTAGTCGGATTGCTTCAAATGGTACCTCATTAGCTTTAATGAGATTACATAACTGTAGGAATTTATTGATATGGCGGTTTGGGATTTCAATCGGGTCTCCTTCAAATAGATTACTTTGGATTAAATTTAGGAAAGAGGCTTTTATTTCGAAATTATTGGCTGGAAATTGAGGCCTTCTAATACTCGCAGTCGGATGCGAGAAAATAGGATTTAGGAAGTGGTTCATCAGTTCTTCTGGTGGATTTTGGTTATCCTCGGCCATGACTGGTTCTTCAGCAGAACTGGAACTGGATGTGTCTTGTATCTTCTTCGCAGTCAAACGCTTCCTATTGATTATTTCTAATCGTCCTAACTCTGGTTCATACTGTAGGTCACTGGAGTTAACAGTGCCTCGCAAATGCATAAACCAGAACACTAAGGCTAAGTGGGCCCAACTAACGGAAACCACTAAACTAATAGAAAATTAAAAAAAAATAAGCAAAATAAAAACAAGAGAAACAAAAATAAAGCAAAAATAAAATAAAATAAAAAACGAAAATAAAAAAATAACTAAAAACTAAACTAATAAAATAAAATTTAAAATAAAAAAATGATCCAATCTATAATTTTATAGATATGATTAATATTGATTAAATCAGTCTCCGGCAACGGCGCCAAAAACTAGTTGTGACTTCGACAAATGCATCGGTCGTACAAGTAATAAAGTGGTAAAATAAAGTTGTCGATCTCACGAAGACAGATGACCAATCACTAATTTATCTATTTAATTAAAGTTGGAATTTATCTATTTAATTAAAGTTGGATCGATCGTGAAAGGTTTCCTTGATAATATTTTAATTTAATTAAAATATAATTTTTAAACTTATTTTTAGTTTTCAATATTTAAGAAATTAAATTCAGAATTAATAATGCTAGAAAATTGGTTTTAAGTTTTACTAAAAAATCGTAGCTAGAACTCAACTTTCCCAATGTTTTCTTAACGAGTTTACCTCTTATAATTAAGATTTAAGATTAAGTTATTAACAGTTCTTTCTATATTTGATTAGATCCCAATCCCTTGGTAATCCAATCATTTACTCCACTCAAAAGTCTAATCCCTTAGTACTTTTTCATAAAATGATCATTAATGCAAGAACATTCAGTTATGGAATTCATAAATCTATCCCTAAATCATACAAATTCCAGCAATCAATCAATCAGAATCGATACACCAACATCCCTATTGTCATGCACGACTCATGTTTATCTATGAGTGATCAGTTCATAAATAAAACTAATCAATAAGAAACAGATTGATTGCATAACTTTAAATCATGAATATAAATTATAAGAAAGGCAAACAACGTTCAAGAACCCATTGGTTTCGTTTCGCCCTAACTACTTAAAGAAAATTAGCCTGACATAGTCAAGAAAACAAGAACAATAGATGAAAAGAAACTAAAATTCATAAAAAGAAAAATAAAATTTGGTCTCCACGGTAAAGCTTTGACCATTCCTCCGCTCCTTTGCCTCGTCTTCCGAATAATTCCCTTCATGGCCTTCTTCGTGTTCTATTTAAAGGCTTAAAATTGGGCCTTTATTTCTGGGCCAGCTCGCTGAGGAGCTCACTGAAGCGAGCTGGTCAGCGAGAACTTTTCTAATCCTCGCCCACTTGCTTGCTAAAGCGAGCAATAGAGCTAGTATGACCAAATCTTTTCCAAATCTTTAATTTCTGATTTTTCTTTTATCTTTTTGTCGTGCCAACTGCTTTCCCATCCTCATCGGGTTAGTAATTTGTTATTCTTAGTATGAAACAACCTGAAACAATAAAAAGGATTAGGATCTTATCTAGTTGTTGACATTTTACTAAATTTTAAGATTTTATTAATTAACACTATATTTTTAATTATATTAATTATTATTTGCACTATATTTGATATTAAAAGCATAATGTCTTTAACACTCATCAAAGGGTTTCCATTCATTTTTGTATATGTTGTATAAGATATCATTAACTCCAAGTCAGCTCATTAGTCAAGCGATGGATGATGGGTTGAAATAATTTGTTCATTAAAATTTAAAACCGAAAATTTGTCAAAAAGATAAAAGAAAAAGGGATAGGTAAGATAAAACACTTATATCTGTTCTTGAGATGTGTTTAAAGTTTTAATTTCAAAATTCATCCTGAATCGAATTAGTCGTGAATTGATAAATCGATTAAAATATTTAAAAAAAAAACTTCAAGAGTTGTTAAACACTAGCACTCGAATTGGGCATCATTTTCCGGACAGGTCGGGTCCATTTAGTTGTCTCCTTGAATAGGCCTTTTGACCTTGGTAAGGTAATATTTATAATGTTTGATCGGAATAATTTTTTGGTCAAATATTTTATCTATTAAGACATGACAGCTGGGATGCGTTACTCTTGCAGCCGCATCCCATGCAACGAACCGCGGCTAACAACCAACCGCGTTCCGTGAGTTTTTTTTGGAGCATCCTCTTCTCTCTCTCTTAGATTACCTTAAAATCAACGAAGCAGTGAACTTTTGAAATACTCCACACACACGCTCTCTCTTTCTCTTTCTCTTTCTCTAAATAAGTAAATGCACTACACACAATTATTGTATCTACCCACAGAATTGTTTTGTGTTTGTACTTTCCCCATTTTTGCTCAATGGTTCATTACACTGTGTGGACAACAAAATTTATTTGCAGAATTTATTCAATGTGTCTGAATCATCCACACATTTCAATACAAATATGTACATACATACCATTAATACCGTCGATTTTAAAATGCTGGCAATTCAAATTTTTTTTTTTTTTTTTGTAAATAAGGCAATTCAATTTTAGGGTGTTGTTACAATGTTCGTAATTAATTTTGTGTCCCAAATCAAATCATTTGTTAGAGTTATGTAAAAAAAAAACAATCGTATCTGATGATGTCTATAATAAAATAATAATAAAATGTAAATTTTATACCTTAAAATATTAGTAATATTTAAAACACTAACTATAAAAAGGATAAGACTTCACCCAATTGATTTAAATTCAATTTATGAAACTTATAGTTTTTAATAAATAATTTATAAATATTAATGTAAGCTTTTTTAAATATTTTAAGGGAAAACTACTCTAATGCTATATGTGATAAATTTCTCTCCTACACACCTTTTGATAATTATGCCACTTTTTTCTCTTTTTTTTTCTTTTTTTTTTAGGTGGTGGAGCACACAAGTTTATCTCTATGACATGAAATAACTTATTTCCTTTAACATGAGATTAATAAAACTCATATTTTAATACTTGAAAATAAACTTGTTACTCTGTTTTTTTTTTTTTCAAAAAAAAAATGTTAAACCATCCCAGCTATAAAATTAGGTAACTGTGACAAAGGATAGAGAAAATGATCACAATGATTAAGAATATAGACCCTTTAGGTTTTTCCTATAATATTTTTTTTTTTGGAACTTGGATTTTCCTAAAAAATTATATCTATATAATATATGTGTGGGATTTGGCGTTGTTTTTTACGTGGCAAGGTTAATCGTTATCCATTTGGCAGAGCATCGAAGGGAAAGTAACGCGGAAAGAGAAGAGGAAGCTCCAAGAAACACTCACTGGAAAGTGAAAAAAAAAAAGCACCGCATTGTAATGAACCATTGAGCAAAAATGGGGAAAGTACAAACACAAAACAATTCTGTGGGTAGATACAGTAATTGTGTTATAGAAAACTAAGAGGATTTGAATATGTTGTTATATTTAATGAAATGGCTGATAGCCAATATATACACAAGTCGGTTATACAGAATCAAGGAGGATCAACTAGAATAAAGTATACTGTTCAACAAACTATACATGGAATAATAATAAACTATTCTTGCTAAAAACTAGGACTTAGTTGCTAAAGGATAAGATCAAAGGTGATCTTCTCCTAACACGCCCCTCAAGTTGGAGCATGAAGTGACGAAATGCCCAACTTGCTGCGAAGAAAACTGAATTGCTTCATGCCAAGCGGTTTGGTAAATATGTCTGCGAGTTGCTGATCTGTACGAACGTAGGTAGTAGTGATTGTATTGCTGAGAACATGATCGCGTACAAAATGACAATCAATCTCTATATGTTTGGTACGTTCGTGGAAAACTGGATTAGCAGCTATTTGCATGGCAGATTGGTTATCACAGTGCAACTGCATAGGGTGTGAATGTGGAACATCAAGCGAGTCCAGAAACGATTTGATCCATAACAACTCAGCTGTAGCTGCTGCCATTGAACGATACTCAGCTTC